TACACGGCCCTCTCTCCACGCCACCGCACTGTTGGTTCACTGGATTTGCACAATCGGCAGATTACTGACCATCGACGGCCGCCGACGCGACGGCACCGACGCTGCATGCACGCGCTATCGGCTCCAGCGCTGCAGCACGGCAGGTGATTGGGCAGTTACCGTCAGAGTGTGAGACTATCAGTAAATTCACCGAGAATTAGCGATGGAATACGATTACATGTGTTCTATGATCTGGGCACATAGTTACATGTGTATACAAACGCACTTCCCACGGAACTATTCGCTAGTTTAGGTGGTGAAAATTCCACTTTTCTTTCGCCTTCGCTTTGGCATGCAAAAAGTATTTCCATAGGATGTTAATTGTGTTTACCTTCAGCGGAGCCTAGAAAATTTAATTAGCCAGGGTTCAAAGGAACACATTAGATCCTTGGATCACCAAGAAAGCCATTTTCCAAATATTTGTAGGAGAAGAGAACAGGGTGTGCAAATTTAGTGTGCTGGAGGCCTAATATATTAAAGTTTCATCAGGAACGATTCCCACAGGGTGTTGTCAAATGTTCAAATTGTTCATATCTGAAGTCTAATAATGTGTCTGATTTCATTTTCAATAGACGGCCCGAAACGAGCGATCCACTGCAAATAAGCCTTTGATAATGTGCGCTTTAAGCCACAACGGACCAGTTGGGTCGTATAAGGCTCAGCGCGCTCGGTTTCGGAAGCTTCCCCCTCCCTCTCTCTCTCTCTCTTTTCTCTCTCTCTCTCTCTCTCTCTCTCTCTCTCTCTCTCTCTCTCTCTCTCTCTCTCTCTCTCTCTCTCTCTCTCTCCACTCTCTCTCTCATTTTCTTTACTATTCTCTCTCTCCCTCTTTCTCATTCTCTTTCCTATTCTTTGTCTACCTCTCTCCTCATTCGCTCTGTAAGATCCTCGACCACAAGTCAACCGCCTCTTTAATCATCCTCGAAACAATCTTCGCTAAAAGGATCATCCCTGGCCGCTCTAGAGAACACAGAATCGCCAGTCATAATGCTCTGCCAGTCTGCACAAAAACATCGTAGCACTGAGATGAAACCAGATACATCCAGAACGATATAACTTTGTCAGCTGGTTAAAAACGACAAACAAGCCGCATTGAAGGCAGGATGGTGACAAATCCATCACGAATCACGCTTAACTAAAAAAGAGAGGTGAGTGGTAATTGCGACCGCTCTATAGGCAATCATATATGACGACCAGACAGCTACAGACCATACGGACCAGCCAATGTGCCAAGTTTTGTAATCTGATCTGTACAGATCACACAATCTGCTGAGTCAATTTCCTTCAAACATGCTCAACTCTGACTCAACTACCCCTTACAGACCTCTCTCGTGCCACAACTGTTCGAGCCACTTTTGGAGTGCCGAACTTTGCCCACAGTTCCAGCGGGTTCACAGCGCTTCATCGAACCTCTCTTGGAGAACACCTCGTCACAGCAAAGCAGTTCGCCGAACCGAAACCCAGTCCAGCAGTGCAGCCGTTCAAAACTCCTGCGTCGTTGTCACCGCTACGTTCGGTCACGATGGAACAGGCAACTAAATCTGAGCGCTCACCTCGATTGGAGACGGGGAGGGGTCATAAACTCGCTGATGGCGCTCTCCCAAAGGTGATGTCGCGAGGGCGAACTTTGTGAAAAGGTCACGAGCACCGTTCATCACTCGATATTCGCGCTCTTAGTTTGATGGCAGTATATTCACCGAGCATCTGAGGTAGATGACACCCTCAATGAAGAAATACAGCTCGTCTGTAAATATTTCACATCTGGATATGAGAGGCTCCCAGACGCGGACGCATCAAGTCACGTCATGTTTCCTTTGAGCTTCTCGTTGGCGATCGGAATCGGATGTAGCCGCAGAAACGTCTGACGCGAGCAGTTGCCTCCAAAGCCAATGATAAGCTTTGCGTGGAACGCTGACTCAGCACTGCCGATAATCAGGTCAGGTCGGGGGCAGCCGAGCGAGGGGTCGCCGCAGCGGTGGCCTCGGTGGGCGTTTGGTGACGGCTGTGGCGGGCGGTGGGCGTTTGGTGGCGGACGGTGGCGGGCGTTTGGTGGCGGCAGTGGGCGGCGGCGGCGGCGGCGAGGTTGAAAAGCCGTCACGATCCAGCGATCCGCCGTCCCGCCCATCTCTGTTTTTACATTTGACCCCGTCAAGGACAGACAAACGCAGAAGAAATGTGCCGCCAGCGCCAGACAAACGATCGAGCGTCCCTCTCGGCACAAGGATCTATAAATTGTGACATTGCCGCTCCAGTGACTTGCCGCCGTTTACACGAGCGCGGGTTGTTCTTTTAATCATTTGCCGTGATAAAATGAATGCCCTCGTCTCCAGAGCATGCACCAACGCATGTCGCTAAATCCCAAAACACTGTGCCTTTCTCAAAAGTCCGAGGATACATACAACTTCACGCCCAGCGCGTTGCGCTCAATTTAGTTATGAATTAACACGGAAACCGTCAATGATGCATTGTAGGTCGACCTGAATGCTGGCCTTGCAGTGAAGAACGGACAGCGCGAATCATTAATCTCGATGTGTGACATGACCGGCAGTAGACATTCATCAGGGCGGATCTAGGGGAACGTTTTGGGGGGGGTCACCAGTCGGCCGACATGCCAGGTCTGATGAATGAATTCTGACGACCGGGGGGGGGGGGGGGGATAGGGAGCGAGTATGTCGAGATCCAATGACATTTGATCTTCGTCGTTTCTGAGTTGAAGTTTTATCGTAAGTCACTCGGCTCAGTAGTTTTAGTTAGTGAAACCCACCTATAGAGGAGCGTCGCCACGGATTTTTTTACTGGGGGGGGGGGGCGGATCGACCGACTTAAAAACCCAGAAGTAGTAGATATAGTTACCTCACTTATGCATTAGTCTAATGCCCAATGCATTAGTAGCATAGGTACAGTCACGATCTCTCTTATTGACCTGTGTATGAATCGGCGGCGCGAAGCGCCGCAAAAATTTGAAAAAAGTTGTCAAAACACAGCTCTAAAACACAAATATTACAACCCTTTTAGCATGCTAGTACAAGCCGGAGTTCCTTCACAGTGCACATATGAATTCCGATTCAATTTGACACGGTTGGTGTTATTACAGTCACGATCTCTCTTATTGATTGGTGTATAAATCGGCGGCGCGAAGCGCCGAGAACATTTGCAAAAGAATGTGTCAAAACACAGCTCCGCTCCAAAACACAAATTTTACCACCCTTTTAGCATGGCAGTACAAGCCGGAGTTTCTTCACAGTACACATATGAATTCTGATTCAATTTGACACGGTTGGTTTATGTAATTACAGTCACGATTTCATATTGACCTGTACGTATGTACATGAATCGGCGGCGCGAAGCGCCGCGAAAAATTTGCAAAAACATTTGTCAAAACACAGAGGGGGTCTCCTCTCTACAGAGGACCACCGATCTCTACTGCGGGCCTCCTCTTTTCACAGGGCCTCTTAACTACAGAAGGCTTCCTCTCTACAGAGGGCTTCCTCTCTACTGAGGGTCTCTCCCTTTCAGAGGGCCTCCTTTACAGAGGACCTCCTCTCTTCAAAGAGCCAGAGGACCTCATCTCTGCAAAGGGCTTCCTCTCTTCAGAGGGCCTCTTCTCTACAGAGAGCCTCCTTTCTTCAGAGGGCCTTCTATCTACAGCGGGTCTCCTCTCTTCAGAGGGCCTTCTGCATTCAGGCGGTCTCCTTTCCACAGAGGGTCTCCTCTACAGAGGGCCTCCTACCTACTGAGGAGTCAGAGGGGCCGACACAGACACTAGCGGTTATTCACTGGAGGCCCCAGGAAGTAAGAAGGGCCCTAGCTGTCAGGCTGGTCAGAGTGCCCTGAATGTCCTGACGTGATTTTTGGGATTCCCGTGAATTTCTTTCGCCTCCGACGTGATTTTGACCTGCCAGGGCCCAGGGGCACTAAAAATAAAACAAACAAAATAAAAAAATGGAAATAGGACATCACCAAAATTAAGTGGCCGAAATCCGTTGAGTTTTTAATTTTGCGTATAGGTAGGGGCACCACGAATTAAATTCATGACCATCCCCTTGGAGTTTTCCTGGATCATCCCCTGGTGCTCGCACGGTTGAGACAAAAATGAGTAAGATTCTGGCCTTCAATACGCCTTTTCACGCAACACGATCCAGAAAAACAAAGGTATTAGCTCAGAAGTGTTTGACATGTGATTTTGAGCATGCAAGACGGCGTCTATAGCGCATTTAGGTCTTCGGCTTTTGGGGGGGGTCAAATGACCCTCTCAGACCTTTTGGGGGGGGTCATGACCCCGTGGACCCCCCCCAGGATCCGCCACTGCAGTGTTGGCACCAGGCATTGTGTCGATCTTAAAGAGAAATTAAAGCAGCCCTCGTCGACATCACAAATTTGGGCACGCCGTGAGTAATGATGCAGATAGTGCGAGCGATATTAAAAAGATTTATTATGCTTCAAGCAGTGAACTCGATCGGAAGACCATTAAATAGTCAATGCCTAAAAATTATTTTGGTGGGCACTATTAATAGTGTTATATCGCACGAGAATATACAATGATACACGAATTATGTAATACACTTGCACAATAATAACGTACGTTACTTGAATACAACTGGGCAACTTCATTTCCCAAAACTTTACATAGGACAACAAATTCGCCATCATCCGACTAGTTCGCATAGGATCCAGGCTACTGTTAAAAACATTTATAAGACGCAACAAAATGCTCATTTCTTGATATGGTAAAGTTCCGAAACGATAAAACTTAACGAAGTGAAATGTGATAATTATAAAAAGTCAGCACACTTCCTTGCAAACATAATTCAAAATAGAATTCGAAGAGTGATTTGTTGTTTTGCACTGTGCCGTCCCCTAAATGGGCCACACGAACAGGTGGTGTTATGGAAGAACATACACAACACACCATATTGGTCTCACATGCACACCATATAACGCAGACCCACTGCGCTGAGAATCGATCAACTCACCGTGAGTGGAAAGTTGATCTGGATGTCTGTGCCGGGACGCCAGCGCTGCACCTCAGGACCGGGCCCAGGTGTGCAGCTGACGTCTGGATGAGCCGCGGAGCCCGATATCGGCTTCCGTGTGGGCGCATCGGTGGGTGAGACAGCTTCCGGGGAGCTGGAGGGAACGGACGTGGCTGTTTCGAGGGAGATAGCCGGAGAGGATGGGTCTGTTTCTTGGGAAGTAGCCAGGGAGTCTGTGACTGGTCCAGGGAATGTAGCTGGAAAAGATGTGGATTCTTCTCCGGATGTGGCCACTGATGAGGTTCCTTCGTCCCCAGAAACGGCTGGAAGTGAAGAGGGCTTCGGGAAGGGAAGCTGTTGCACCGGACTAGGGGAAGAGACGGGAGGTGATGACAGATGAATCAGCCCTGGTGAAGGAATGGGGTGGGAATATGACGGTGGAAGAGCCTTGGTAGGTGTCTGTGTTTGCAGTGCTGAGGCGGTAGGAACTGTAGTTGTTGTCACACGAGGACTGGCTGTAGAAGACGGGGAGTGATCCGGTGGAGGAGGCAGAACGGGTCGGGCTGAACTGAGGGTGGTTAGAAACACGGCATTTGAGTTCGTGCTAGATGTGCTGTCTTCTGTCCCAGATTGGGTTTGTGCATCTGTCGACCGTGTCTCCGAGCTCGGTAATTTAGTTGTTAAAGCTTCTCTGATGTTAGAGAGCTGTGGAGTGGTTGTTGATGAGCCAGTTTCAACATTTTGTGATGTTTGAGTGCTTCGTTTAAAATAGGACCGCGTGGCTGCGGTTGATGTGCCCTGTGTTGGGTCACGTACCCACTGGGCTGATGGTAGAGATTCTGAAGCGACAGATGTGCTGGAAATGGGAAGGCCGTTGTCGAGACGCGCTCTCACATCAATTGGACCACTCCGCTGAACTGCGGGGTCATTTGGGACGCTAGATTCCGGCCCTTTCTCTCGTGGGCTTATCTCTGTGCCCGGCATGGCTTGAACCGGAGACAGACTTCCTTCAGACTTGGCAGCCTCGGGTTCGGCGATGGTGGTACTTCCCAAAGATCTGAGCCGTTTCTCGAGCAACTCAGACGCAGCCGGTCTTTCGGCGCGTGGTCCAGAGACCGACGTGTGAGCGGGGTCAGCTGCGGGTGTCAGCTCTGACACCACTGTGTCAGTGTCACCGTGTGTCACCGGGGACACGACTGACACGTCCGGCGGTTCAGCGGTCACCCGCGTAGTTCCACTTCTCGGCGAATGTGGCGGGTCTCCGGAGGTGAATGCCGCCGCCGGCCCGTCAGCGGACCCACTGGCGATGTTCGGATCTTTGGAAAGAGCCGGGGGAAGAGAGAGGGATTCGGAGACGAGCAGGAGGAGCAACAGAACCGGCCACGACATGCTGACTGGTTGGCGATCACCTGCGGAGTAGACCAGGAGGACAGAGTGAATGCTTGTCATATACAGAGTGGGAATACCCCTGTTTGTTTTGATCTTGGCAGAAAGACGCAGATAAGGTTAACCCGCGCCCTGCTGGGGGGGTGTTTGAACACCCCCCCTTGTGGTTTTTCGCGAATATCTCAAAAACGGCGGCGCTCCGCGCCGCCGTTTTTGGTACACCTTATCATACATCAATTCTACACATGTTGTGAAAATTTCAGACCAAGGTCATTCAAGGTCAGGTCACCAGGTCACTTGAAGTGACCTCACCTCATAAAAAGTTTCAATGTCTGTCATAGCTACACCGAGTGACTGATCGCTTTGAAACTTTCAGCGATTGCTAAGAGCAATAGCATGTACAAAATGTATATCTCAGAATTTTGATATCGATGACCTAAGGTCAGGTCAATTTTGCGACCTCCCCATTATAAGTCAATGGGAGAAAATTAAAATGCGCCTCTTTTGGACGAAAGACATTATAAACACTCCCAAACACCGAATTACAAGTGGTTTAGACACACTGAACATGAAAATGGTGTCCGTGACCCTTGTTTATGCCCTGGGGTCATCTTAGGTCACGAATGGTATCTAACAGTTTTTCGCAAATAACTTTTGATAGAGGCATGCTAAAGCGATGAAAACGCCTTAGATGTGTTCAGCTAGACGATACGGATCGACTGATATGCAACATGACCCTTTCCGGTCAGGTCATGACCTTGACCTGAGGTCAAATTTTCAAGTTGACCTTTCAAGGTCAAGTTATAGTTCATTCGATGCGTCTTGACGAGAGGAACACGATGCTGGTAAAAGTAAGCTCGTACAAGGCTTGGGTCAAAAGTTATTGCAGAAAAACTGTTTGCGAAAAAATCGGCTATTTTTGCAGTTTTTGCCCCCTGCAGGCAAAACCGTTGACGGTAGGTCAAATCTGAGAGGATTACTCAGAAAGGGCGGTAATAGGGCTATCGAATGCGCTTTTCCGCGGCGCTGTAGCTCTATTGGTTCCCGAGTTATGCGTTGGCTTCTTGGAAATTTTCGACATTCGACCTGGAAATCGGCGAAATTTTGCCTTCAATGACCTCTGGTGACCTGACCTTTGACCTGAGCAAAAAATTGACCGAAGTGATTTCGTCATTATTTTTTACGCTCTTTCGAACGCCGCCTTCCGCGTATCGCTACGTGGCCCAGGAGCCGAGTTACAAGGGGGGTGTTCAAACACCCCCCCCCCCCCCCCAGCAGGGCGTGGAAATCCAGGACCCCCAGCTGGGCGCGGGTTAAAGGGACCCTCCCACCTTAACATTAGTTTTGAGTTGAGATAGCCAAATTGGTGGCCATGGCCTGAAAATACCGGTTTGGGCATTCACAACATCGAAAAATGCTTTAATTCGGAGATATGGAATTTCAAACTTGCAGTTTTCGGATTCTAAGGGGCTAATGCATTGGTATGCCCCCTTAGAATTTGTGACGTCAGCGGAGATCTAACGATTTTTAAATCTTTTACTAAAACGTTTGGCAGCACGCGGTGGTATATGCTGCTTTGCGCGCAACAAATGCCGCACTTTCAAATAATGTCGCTAGGAACAGCGGAGATCCCAAAAAAGTAAACAAAAGTAAAAGTCTAATATCTTGAAAACCGGTGAATATTTTTCGATGAAATTTGGTAGATATTCATTTTTGCTCTTTCTGAACCGAGCGACATCACTTTCATGCCAATTCATTAACTTTTTTGAAGGTGGGAGGGTCCCTTTAAGTGGGCAATGAAGTGTTTTGGAAACACTGCTGACCTTTGGTAAAAGGTGACTTATCACAACATTACACTAAACTTAGCTCAATTCAATCTATACTATTTGGTTGGATGTTGGCTTTACCCACGTCAGCTTTGATGTGGTGAATGTCAGACTGTGGCGGCTATCATTCCCCAACACTAACTCAGTCAGACATTGCTATAGACACCCTGTGAATGGTTTGTCTCCAGCCAAAGTTCGCTTGTTTGCGTCAACGATCTCTGCCTTACTCAGGCATTTACGGTTTGCTGTTGCTATCATAGAACTAATTGTGATCTTTGCGTTTTTATGTTTTTGAACTGTTTTTTATTAAACATGGAATGAAAAAGGTTAACATTATTTTCGTTTAAAACTGTATCTAACCAATGGTAATCAAAGTTCACGTCAGTCGTCAGGAGACATTAGTGTTTCTGTTTCAGCTCCAAGCGGCTATACGTGGGTACTGGGTAGGCTGTGCCGGCGTACACTCGTGTCAGGCGGTACAGTCTATCCATGCAGTGCCACCGCTATCGGCCCGGCCCTGTTCGGTGCCACAATACCGTCGGCCGATGGTTTTACTAACGATTACGGTTTCCATGGAAACATTTACAAACTGAACTCTCAGAATATTGAACGCTCAGAATAACTGAACCCTCACGTGGTCAAAAAGTGTTCAGAAGTAGCAGCAAAAAGCCGTGCTAGCACCAGCGGCATTGTGCTTTTGTTTTAGCCCGCGCCCCGTTGGGCTCTGCCGAGCAACGCGCCCCGTTGGGGGGGGGGGGGCATTTTGCCCCCCCCCCTAAGATCTCGAGAACCACGCAACGTAGCGACAAGCGGCAAACGGTGTTGGATAGCCCTATCAGGGAACTACCTTGTGACCCAATTTTATTGACCTAGGTCAAACCGATGACGTCACAGGTCAGGTCAAAGGTCCAATTTTCACCGTTTACAGGCATCTCAAGAAATGCGTTGTAAAATCGAGTAAAATGCATTTCATTGAAAATCATCGATGGGGAAATGTTCTTCAAACACATATTTTGCTAGTTGAGGTCACTGATACCAGGTCAGGTCACTGAGGTCAGGTCACTGGGGGGTCACAATATGAAAGTGTCGTGTGATACATGTTTTATGGTCCATTTTACATGACAAATGCGATTATGTGGGTCAGGCAGCCTTTGGGGCCAGCTTAGGTCACGTTTTGGTCAAGGTCAGGTCAAGGTCAGGTCAAGGTCAGGTCAAAAAAGGTCAAATTTTAAAGTTGATATTTTTGCATAAAATGGGTATCGAATCGATGCAGCTCGTCACGGGGAGTTCAATGGTGGTCTTTGTTTTGCCGTACGAGGTCTAGAATCGCTAAAAATTGAGTTCAAAATTTTGACGTCATCATTTTTGAACAGTTTTCGCTATAACTTAGCCAAAAAACGAGATATCGATCTGAAATTTGGTATGTATATAGAAGAGCGCAGGGACTATCACATATATTCCGGTTTTTTCGAAATTCGGAAAAATTTTGGATTTTTTTTTAGTTTTTCTAAAAAAATCAATTTTTTGAATTTTTTTGGGTCAAAAACCCAAAATTTTGAAAATCCGAGATAGCAGTTTTGTAGCGCCGCTTTTTGTCTATTAGACCATATAAAGAACTTTGAAATTGCTTGATAACTGTAGATTTGGTGAGCGTTTCAAGATTGCATGTTTTTTGCTCATTTTTGCTCGAACATGACCTCAGTTTGACCTCAATAACTCCTGACCTAAGGTGACCTAAGACTTGAAATTTGGTGTGAAGGTGTCAAATTGATGCCCGGAAAGGTACTGAAAATTTGGCGGCGCTGCGCGCCGCCATTTTCTTGCTATTCAGGAAAAACCACAGGGGGGGGGCCAAAATGGCCCTCCCCCCAACGGGGCGAGGGTTAGGAGTGATCCGACGCATTACCAGTGCGACAGCCGACCAGGGACTTGACGTTTAATTTAGTTATGCGCTGGCATATTGATAATTAAAGCTACTGGAGAGTTATTGAAGATTTAACAATTTAACCTGACGAAATAGACATGACGGGAGCCTATGACGAGGCCACGAGAGGATGTCCATCACATTTATTTTCCTATCACAAGTCCCTTACATGCCTTCGCAGATAGCAAAAAACCCAGGGTTTCATCTTCAGTTGCAGCTTCAGTATTGCTGGTATCGCTGCTTTTACATATTCCATATCGAGTTCATTCGATAACCGTCCATCTCAACCCTTGCATAAAAAGAAGATGTAAATTGAATTGGCAAGTGACAAAATTTGCCTCTCCTTAACTGTTGGATAGGAATAGCCAGCTAATCACAGCTGGCATAGCATATCATGAAAATTAAAGCAATGATTCAAACGTTTTGAAAAGCATGGCATGGAGTGAATAAGCGTACCTAATAATATATATATATTATATAATAAGATACATAAATGATAACGTGAAATAGCCGGCGTTCAGAGTTAGTTCAAAGGGCAGCAGCTTCTATCTCTTCCCAAGCCCGCTAGATTGTGCTGAAGGGTGTGTATCGGACAACAAACACAGCCATAAAGAATCGGATCCCTCGAATGAGACGATAAATAACTCCAAACTACCTTGTTCTTGGTGTCGTGAAAATAAATGTGGCAGTTTCGCTGAACATTTTACCAAAGAGATTTCAGAAGAGGCCGCCTTCATCCTAAACCAGCTCAATTTGGTCAGGCTTGTTTTCTTACAGAACTGCGGATCGATATTCTGCGCGTTTTACGATTACGGACTATGTCGTTGTGGAGCAATGGCCATAGTTTTTTCCTGTTTTTAGCTGCTTGTTTAAACTTTTACGCTGACTTTTAACTTAGCAGAAATGTGCCTTGTTTTCTTCGTTTAGATTTACAATTATCATGTGGGACACGATAACAGTTTTTACTCGTAAGCTTGTTTCAAAACGGGGTGGATCAGCTCATTTGTTGATCCACCTCAGCTCCATTAGGCACCTCATCAGAGAATCATGTGACCACAGTCCTCCAACTCTCTCAAAGGAGATTTCGAGTGACAAAGCAACCACTGCCAATGGTTGTATCTCTTAAATGTACATACAGTACGCTTCCCAAAGCCAGACACAAACGATAAAGACGATCGCCTATCTAGGACAGCTTTGACCTTTTGATATACCTATTGCTCATTATATTTCTTGTGAAGAACTCGTCCGAACTATTGGTAATCAAAACCCAGCAATAATCTGGAACGTGCAGCCAGTAGCTCAGTTAGTGCAGGCCGCTCTCTGTGCCATCGGGGTTGCGGAATGTTCACAATCAGTATTGGCATGCAATCTTTTTGGGATAACTGTATACCTACCGATGACAAATGTTGAATATGCTTTTTATCATATCGTATCAAACCGTAGCTTGAATACTGTCATCTCTATTGATGCCATATGTTGAATTCAGCCAAAAGGCGGAGACCATTTCAGTCGTTTAAAGTACTTTTATCACGAAAGAATGAAGATGCCGTGTTGCTAGTTTTAGCTGCCGACAAATAAAATGAGGATAGAGCATGCCCCCCCCCCACACACACACACAAACACTAGCATGGGTATCAGTCGAAGCATCATACGGCCAGTTGACAGTTGGTAGCGTCATTTTTTAACCCGCGCCCCGTAGGGGGGGGGGCCGAAACGGCCCCCCCCTGTCCTTTTCGGTCGATATCTCCTAAACGGCTGGAGATATCGCCACCAAACTTTCAGGACCCCTCCGGGCATCAATTTTACACATTGTGACCAAAAATTTTTCCAGAGGCTATGATAGGTTGGCCACAAATGACGTCAGAGTGACGTCATGTTCTGTCATTTTCGACCGAAAAAAGACCTTCGCGAGTAGACCTGTCAGGACTACAGCTTTGAAGATACAGAAAAATGATCAAGACATAAAAGGTGTAGAATTGACAGGGCTACAAAACTGCTATCTCGAATTTTTGAAATTTTTGAGTTTTGACCCCCAAAAATCAAAAAAGCATTTTTCTGGATATATTCTCCAAAAAATCCAAAAAGTTTTTTGAGTTTCGAAAAAAAACCGGAATATATGTGATAGTGCCTACCGTCTTCTATCTACATACCAAATTTCAGATCGATACCTCGTTTTTTGGCCAAGTTATAGCGAAAAAACTGTTCAAAAATGATGACGTCAAATTTTCTAACTCAATTTTTGGCAATTCTAGAACTCGTAGAGCAAAACGAAGACCACCATTAGACTCCCCGTGACGAGCTGCATCGAATCGATACCCATTTTATGCAAAAATATCAACTTTGAAATTTGACCTAATTTGACCTGACCTTGACCTGACCTTCACCAAAACGTGACCTAGGCTGGCCCCAAAGGCTGCCTAACCCACATAATCGCATTTGTCATGTAAAATGGACCATAAAACATGTATCACACGACACATTCATATTGTGACCCCCGGTGACCTGACCTCGCTGTGACCTGACCTGGTATCAGTGACCTCAGATAGCAAAGTATGTGTTTGACGAACAATGTACCATCGATGGTTTTCAATAAATTACCAATTTACTCGCTTTCACAGCACATTGCTTGAATTGCCTGTGAACGGTGAAAATCTGACCTTTGACCTGACCTGTGACGTCATCGGTTTGACCTAGGTCAATGAAATTTGGTCACAAGGTAGTTCCCAGGTGGGGCTATCGAACGCCGTTTGAATTTTGAAAATCGGCCGGTAACTTTCCGAGATCTTAGGGGGGGGCCGAAACGGCCCCCCCCCCCCCTACGGGTGGTAGGGTCCGCCGGTAGCCCTACGGGGCGCGGGTTAAGTCGCTGAATCGGTATTAACTGTAATAACTTTGTAATAAGGCAATGTGAAAGCTGGCATTATCTAGTGCTCCTAATGTTAGAATTCAATATGCATAGAAGATAAAAAAGGACAGCGTCAACAAAAACCATTAACGAAAAACACTTATCGTCATGGTCTAAGATAATATTCTACCGTGACATGCCACGAACCAAAACAACCCCGCCCATATAAAAAACACACACACAAACACAGTTGAGCCGCACTAGCTCGGCCCTTTATGGTCCAGCCGGGCACGTTAGCCAACAGGACATGCCTCACACCGACCCAGGACAAAGAGCGTCTCTCGGTCTGGCGCCGTCAGAGACGGCCTCACACTCACCGGAGAGGAGCGGCGGCGCGGCCTCCCGTCGGCACCGACGTTGCCAGGACACTGGAGAGCGTCGGCAGCGACGACCGGCGACAGAGCGGGAGAGGAGAGCCGGCAGAGCGGGAGAGGAGAGCCGGCAGAGCGGGAGAGGGCCTGCGGCGGGCGCCGGCGCCGGTCCGGGAGAGCTCTGCGGACTGCCGAACGCAGGCTCGGGCCGGTTGCATGCCTGTCCCCTTACTGCTTGCTTCTCGCAAGAAATGATTTGTTGAAACTTGTCAAAGTCTTCAAACATGATCGTCAGCAACTTGCACTGTGTGGGGTGTGACGTGAGGTCATCTGAGAGTTATGATCTCTTAGAGTTAACCCATTAATGCCGGAATTTTTATTTTTTGATTCCTTAGTTGTCCTTAACAAATGTTAGCCACACGGGTCCCAGTAAGAAAACTGTGCAAGCTTAAAAAAATTGTTCCATCGGTTCTCAAGTTATAAGTATGGGTCATAAATGACCCAACCGGCATTGGCATAGTCACAAATAAGGAGTTATCACGAAAACCGATATAGCTAGATACCTTATTGTGTATACTGTATAGCGGTCTCAGCCAAACAATATTAAGAGGCACTGCATTGCAATGCTTTGCAACATCTCATTGGCGAGGCCGTTGGTGCCGCTGGCAGGCCTGTGGTGCCCCTGTTAGGCCTCTGGTGCTCCTGAGGGGACACCATAGGCCTGACGGGCCTGTGACACCTGGAAGGACTGTGGTGCCCTGGGCCCTGACAAGCCTGAGGTGCCCCTGACAGGCTTGTGGAGCCCCTGACAGGTCTGTGGTGCCATTGCTAGGTTTGTGGTGCCCCTGGCAGGCCTGTGGTGCCCCTGGCGGGCCTGTGGTGCTCCTGCTAGGCCGCTGGTGCCCCTGGATCCTGGCAGGACTGTGGTGCCCCTGACAAGCCTGAAGTGCTCCCGACAGGCTCGTGGAGCCCTTTACAAGCCCAAGGTGCACGTGCGAGGCTGGTGGTGCCCCTGTGAGGTCGATGGTGCCCCTGGCAGGCCTCTGGCTGGTGCCCCTAGCAGGTCTGTGGTGCCCCCTGACAGACCTGTGGTGCTCTTGCTAGGCCGATGGTGCTCCTGCAGGCCTGTGGTGCCCCTAACAAGCCTGTGGTACCCCTGACAGGCCCGTGGTGCCCCTCGGCCGGCCGAGTCGCCGGCCCGCCCCGCGTCACAGCCCCGGACAACCGGTCCGCTCATGATATCCCAACATCGCAACACTAGGCCTGTGGTGCCCCTGATAGGTCGGTGGTGCCCCCGGGTCCCAGGGGAGGTCATGAGTGACCCATATGACCCCCTCATTTGGATCCGCCACTGTGATCTTATCACAACCCCCAGAAATAAATAATCGTATAATCATCAATTGCTTCCCTTGTATTCAACATACGAGAAAATTGACAACACTATTGCCGGCTGGGTCATTTATGACCCAAGGATATTTATCGAGGAAAAAAGTTATCCGATGGCGACAAGAAAGGCAAAAATATACATCATGCCTTTTTCAGACAAATTTAGATGCCAGGTGGACGATCATTCAATAGATAGTAAAGTGCAAACATAACATAATATTACTTTTTGGGACGGCACGCCATTGCCAGTGACCGGCGGCTGTGCAGCCCCGTCGTCTTTGGCTCCAGAAACTTCAGTGGACGAGCTCACACGAGTTTTATGCGGCTCCGACGCTCGTCGCTGAACCCACAAATCCAACAAAACACACGCACAAGTTCCTCAAAGTGCCACTTGCCTTCATTTAGAAAAAATGTTAAGATGTTGCGTTTGGGTCATATATGACCCAAGCGGCATTAATGGGTTAAGTCAGAGGAATGCATTTTCACTTATCTTGCTGAGAAGCCTGCATGCATTGTGCTCATCGACTATTTATTCATTGAGCGATTTAATTACACTGAGTTATTACCAGCACTGCCTACTTTTTGAGTCTCATTAGCTCATGATTTGTCAAAGAAACCAATGATATTTCAGGACATTTTGAAGCAGCGTGTAATAATATTTTAATTATTTACAATGATAGCAAACATACAAACATGTAGCATGAAACAACAATAGTTTAATTATGTACTACGGCCTGAGGGTGAGCACAAGGAACCATATTACCTATAATGTGCACTAATTGTTATCATAGAGTATAGACAATTTATATGTTTGAAAAGCAAACATTTTATGGGCACAATACAATTTCCAAAAATTTTCAACAGCAATAATTTATTTTTATTGCCTCGATGACATAAGAGGCGAGTATCGGCGACACGCTAAATTACTATCCCCTTGTATTTATACATATTCGTTGATCATAAAATGACGCACAATGTTCCTGTCGACTCAGCGAATGTGTTTTCACACTTCATTTTGCGTTTCATTGGTCCTTTGTGGACCATATTGAAGGTTCGCCCGCCTGTGCCAAAGGCCGATTTGCGCACAAAGTCATTGCTGAGAGGTCTACATAAAATACACTACTTTGTTTGCCATGCCACATCGTCTGTAGAACGCCGCCCCATAATCAATTATGGGTAAACTCAGGGAGGCAATGCCATTCGTTTCTCACTCGCTACAGTGCTGATCAAACACGAACAGCGACCCGTACACGAGAAAGCGGAGGCGGACCTTCAGGCTCCTTGGGCCCAGTTGTCGACAGGTCGTCCAGCAGGTGCGTCACCCAGCCGTCAGTGTCTACAGCGCAACTTGGCGGGCCTTTTCTAGGTGGGTAGGTAAGCAGCGTGCCCCTGTGGTCGTTACAAAGCGATTCACTGCGATCTCGTGGCTGAAAATTGTCATAATTTCGTTCTTTTTTTTTTGTTCATTTGTTCATTCGGAAGGACTGTTTCCTGTGCATGTGGGTTGAAAAGCTTGCAGTGACCAGCTGGCGCTTAGTGCTTACAATCGGTCGTCACTAAATAGAATCAAACACCACTAGGAAATGTCTTGTTTTACATGTATTTCTCCTTAGTTACAAACGTGTACTGATAAACATATTTTTGTAGCTCTTGATGTAAAAATTCCAGCCTGACAGCAAATATCAAAATCGATTAAGTTCAATCGGAACTTCTGAAGCAACATGCCTTTTGCGATGGTTACATTGCAAATGTTATGTTGATGCTACATGCGAAAGTGTAAAAATTATGTTAATATGTATCTTAATATGACCAATATCTTCGTTTTGATATATTTTATACAAACTGACCCGTCGAAGACAGGCTGACTTAGACAGCATAACATAAATATACAGTTGATTTTTTTTTTCATTAATTATCTTACAAATCCAGTCGCAGATGGCAACGTGCACCTTCCGAGGCTACCTGCGAGCTACAATCGCCTCAGCTCTGACCATTTGGTTCATTGTCGAAGTAAGTGACCGGGAATTCAGTTTGAAAGTTTTCCGTAAGCTCCTGCAATTATATTTCTCGTTACCATGTTTTTATAACGCAAGGCAAAAGTAGTGTGCCTTATTATGTTGCAATTAATCTCATCGTCTTATGAAAATTGAAAAAACATGAACAGTTTCAATCCAACTTTCGTGAAACAATCACATAATTTTTGCAACGACGACAACAGACATGCATGAGTTTTCATTACATTCTAGCAATTCAGTGCCATTATTCTATGACACTATCTGCACTGAGAGTGGCATGTACATTTTCAGGCGTCCGGCCTTCTATGGAAATACCAGAAGCACAGGACTTGGACCAACGTAGGGCACAGGCTGGTTCAGAACCACAGCTTGAGAGTCTGTGTCATGTCCACGCTCTTAGAGCGATACCATTATAACGCGTGAGTTCATTTAGCAGCCTGCTGCTCTCCGAGGTGTCATACACCAGGACATATCACTTCGAATGCCCTTTCTCGTTGTCCTAGCTATATGTTACGAGTATTTCTAGAGAGACAGTAGTAAATAACTAGTATGATTTAAAATCGGGAAAAGTTTACCTGTTTTAGAAAGAGGTTCAATCTAAGGATGGATACAATGCCATGAATGAATAATTTAATTCGTTTTAAAGTGGCATCATTTAACCCGTGCTGGGGGTAGGGCGTTTTCAAGACACCCCTCTCCCGCCTAAATTGGCTTTTGGGTCACGCTGCGACACACAGTAAGCGGCGTTTAAAAGAGTATTAAAATAATAAATAAAAAATTCAGTCACTTTTAAGGTAAAGTGAAAGGTCAGTTCAGGTCACCAAAGGTTAACAAGGGTCAACTTTTGCCTATTTCAACATTTTTCGAAAAACTGACGCATACCTAACTCGGGAACCAATAGAGCTACAGCGTCGCAGAAAAGCACATATTCCATAGCCCTTTTGACATTCTTTCCGACATAAGCTCTCATATTTAAGCTAGGGCCAACAGTTTGGCCTTCAGAAATATGAGTCGATCCGTATCGTCGAGCTGAACACATCTGAGGCGTTTTCATCGCTCTAGCATGTCACTATAAAAAGTTATTGTAAAAAAAAATGTCAGTGACCTTTCATAACCTGAGATGACCTCAGTGGCACAGAGGGGTCACGGGTGCAATTTTCCGATTCAATGTGTCATGTTTGCCTAAAACCGATTTTTGAGTGTTTAGAACGACGTTCGTCGAAAAGACGCGATTGTTTTTTCTTTAGTCGGACCTCTCTCCAACGGGCTCATGTCCCAATTATAGGAGAGAGCACCTGCTCCTCGTCATCCTATTCCCCACCCCCCAGGCTACCCCCACACCTGGTGACGCAGCCGGGGACGACGCCCGCAGAACAGGCGGAACCGGGAAGCGAACCAGGAACCCGGCACCGTCCGCACCGCGGCCCGGCGCGGCGGGTCGACGCCTTAAACCTCGCATGTGTGCGGCGTTTGCCAGCTTCTAACGTGTAGGGGGGGGGAGTCGGTTGGACCCTCCTTGCCGTTTGGCCCCTGATCGAAATAGAGCTTCGCGGAAAAACGAGCGTGTTTCCCGTGACGAGACACAGCCAATGATACCCAATTTTAACCTGCGCCGGGCCGGGTGGTGTTTGAACACCCCCCTGTGGTTT